CAGCAGAGTCCCGACACAACCACGGGCCACTCAGCCGGTCGCTTCCCTGCTGAAATCCTCGGCTGCGGGCTCGAGGGCGATGGGGGACACGGGGCGAGGCTCCAGCCTGCGTTCTGCTTCCCCCGTCACAGGTATTAAACGAAGCTGTTGGCGCCATGATGTACCACACCATCACCCTCACCAGGGAGGACCTGGAGAAGTTCAAGGCCCTGAGGGTAATCGTGCGGATAGGCAGCGGCTACGACAACGTTGACATCAAGGCTGCCGGTGAGCTCGGTGAGTGCCCGGGGCTGGGTCGCACGCCTGCCGCTCTGGCCGCAGGGAGGTGACCTTGCCAGGCGGCCCCGCCTGGTGGCTGTGCTCGCCTCGGCCTTCGCAAGTGAGGGACCTGAAGCCAGACGAACTGGGAGCCCTTCCCTGCAGAGGGGACCGTGTGTGTGTGTGGCCACAGGTCCGTGTTGGCCAGCGCGGACCCATCATGCTGAAATACCAATGCCGGGAGCGCGGCTTAGGCCTTGGGGAGTGAGGGGCCGTAGGTCTCCTCCGGTCCTGGCACGGAGCCCCCCCACCCTCCTCCTCCCAGGGGCTGCTGTCCACACAGACTCCGGCACCTCCTGTCGAGCCCTGTCGCTGGGGGTTACCACAGAAGGGCAGAGGCAGGAGGTGGGCGCCCCGGGGTAGGCCCGTGGCACCGTGGCCTCCCTGTCCCAGCACCTGGTGTGGACTCCGTATGCGTCGGGTGTTTGCAGAGCATTGATAGTAAGCATCCCCGGGCTGTCCTGCTCTCTTTGGGAGGCTCCAAGGTCCCTCTACATCAGCTCCCTGGTCACTGTCCTTGCTGTGTGTTTGAAATACGCCGGATCTGCTCCTTGGTGCGAGGGCCGGTGCTGTGCCTGGTGAGGAGCAGGGTGCCCCAAGGCCACAAGGCTGCTAATCTAGGAACCCAGGCCCTTCCAGTCCCCCAGCCCTTGGCTGTGCTGAGGCCCTGGTGGGCCGTCTACGGGCCAGGGGTCTGTCTTCCTCCCCACCACCCCCCCCAAGTCAGCCTCTCAGCGCCCTCTGAGCACCCTGTGGGCCCCAGGGACGTGCCAGCATGTGCAGCAGGCGTCCCGCAGCCCTGGCTTCGGCTCAGGTGCCCACCTGCTGCCTTTTCAGCCCTGGGAACCCCAGCGGGCTCCAGCCTCCTCTCCCAAGGTCCAAGCCCGGACTTCTGAGTGAAGGTCCCGGGTTTCTCTGAATGGTTAGCTTCCTCCCCTGAACTGGGGGAGCACCTGATACCTGAGCCGCAGGGTGAGCTGGGGAGAGGGAGCCTGGCCATGGCGGAGCCTGTCTGGTGCTGAGCCTGCCGTGCCGCTATGTAGTGGTTCCAGGTGCTCTGGGAACGTGCGTGTGGCAGGTGGGGTTGCCCCGCAGGTGAACCCGAGAGGAGCAGGCGAGAGGTGGTCATTCCCCAACACCTGCCTCCTTCCCCTGCCCCCTCCTGGAAGTGGGGGCGGGGTGGCAGGTGGCTTGGGAGATGACGCTGGCTTTCCTGGGTCCCCGCTCCTCTCAGCACCCCTCTGGAAGGGGTGACCTCACGTTCCACTCATTTTGTGCTCTTGGTAGAGCTGAAATCCCAAGTTCAAACAGCGACGGAGAATGTGGTTTAATGGGCTGGGGGGTCCTCAGATGCGCGTACCTGTGCACGCCTTCCCATTTCTTCAGTGTTTCTGCCCACACCCCCCCCCCCCCCCCCCCCAACCGCTCCTGGCAGCCACAGCCTCCTGGGTTCAAGGTAAATGTTCGTGTTGAGTTTCCTCGACGGGAACCAGCCACTTCTCTCCAGCGAGATACAGGAAGTTCTCCTGAGCAAAACTTGCCACCCCTCCCCTTGGCAAATGCCACCACGCAGCCGGGCAGGGCCTGGAGGGGACCCTCATCTCCCTAAAACCAGAGGTGCTCACCTCACCCGGCCACACGTCCGCACTGGCCCCAGGAGGTGGTGTTCCCAGGGGCCTGCGGTTTTGAACAACGTTAAAGGATGTCGGCCCTGGTGTTTTCATTGATCCTGATGCGGTCTGATGCGGGAGCTGCCCGGGACGCCTCTGGGCCTCTGTCCTGTCTGCAGGTTGCACTTCCCAGATCATTCTGTACCCAGACCTTCCGCAGTTGAGGACAGAATGGCCCGTGGCTGCGGGTTGTCCTGGGTCGGGCCTGCGGTGCGGCATTGCTGGGCGGGCGCTCCCTTCCCGGGGCACACTGGAGCCGTCTGGGGACCAGACCACCACACTGGAGGCCCTGAGATGGGTGGTCTGGGTTGAGAGCAGGGCGATGCTCAGGAAACAAAGGTGGCACCTGCCTAGGCCTGGACTGGGGGAGGTGGGAGGTTGCTGGAGACCCCAGGGCATGGAGCCCGCAGGCTCTCACCTGGTGTGCCTTTCTAGCAAACTCCTTTATCTCTGGTTCTGGAGGGGTGACCCTGGAGAGTGAAAACATGGACTGAAAAAGCAGCTCAGCTCTTGGGGTCAGGCAGCTGCCACTCCTGCCCTGTGGGCGTTAGAAGCTTGTCCTAAAAGCCTTTGGAGAATTGCCCTGACTAGACCACACCCACAGACCTGCCGAGGGTTTAGAAAGAGTCAGCCCCTCTAGAGGGCTGGCGAGGCTTTAGAGTTTTTGGAGGAAGGTGCCGTTGCCCTCAGGGCTGGACAGTCCTTTGTCTCTTGGGGACCCCTCTCTGGGACATCCCCTCCCAGGGTACAGCCATTCTCGGGGCTCAGGCGGGGGAGGGGGGGTGGAGGGTCCGCGCTCAGCTCTTGTCCTGCTGGGCTTTGGCCGGAACACTTCAGGTTCCTCAGAGGAATGAAAACCAGCCCAAATGCCAGAAGGTTCCCTTAAATCCTGGCATCTGCCTGCATCTGTCCAGACTGATAAACCATGGCTTCCAGCGCTGCCCGAATTGTAGGCCCGGCTATTTCAAGTGAAGTGTAGGCCACACCGTGGCTGTTCCACAAGACGACTGACCTCCAGCTTGGGGAAGGTTGGTCAGCCAGGATGTCAGACGCTTTGTCCCCCGGCAGGTGGCCGTGGCCAGATGGGCCAGGTAGAATGATGTGCTCGTGGGCGCTTTCATCCTCTGAGCGGTCTTCCTGAGGGCGTCGCTGAGACCCTGGCCCTCTGGGCAGCCCTCATGGGGTGGAAACACAGCTGCTAGAATGGGGGTGCTCGTTACGGATGGTCCTGGGTCCTGTTTCCCAGCGCTTCCTGCCCAAGACTTCGGGTGGTTCCTTCAGGCTCTCGGCCACAGGGCCTGTGGGCGTGCCCTCACCAGCTGCCCACTGCTTGCTTCCCAGAAACACGGGGTCTAGAAGCAAAGGGGGGGCCGGACGCGGGACGGGTAGGGGACCTGGGGGTGAGCCAAGCCTGGGGGCTGAAGGCCCCTGAGCGTCAGAGCCGGGGGGGTCAGCGTCCCCGAGGCGACAGGCAGGCCTCGGAGACCCGGCCCTGCCTGGGGTCACGGTCTGCGGCCCCTCTGCCTGCCGCCCCCGCCCCTCAGCCGGGTGCCCCGGAGTCCCGGAGCCTCCCCACAGAACCGGGCCCGGCCCTGTCCTCCCCAGGGATCGCCGTGTGCAACATCCCGTCCGCGGCGGTGGAAGAGACGGCCGACTCGACCATCTGCCACATCCTCAACCTGTACCGGAGGAACACGTGGCTGTACCAGGCGCTGCGGGAAGGCACGCGGGTCCAGAGCGTCGAGCAGATCCGGGAGGTCGCCTCGGGAGCAGCCCGCATCCGCGGGGAGACGCTGGGCCTCATCGGCTTCGGTATGTGGCGCTGCCCAGCCCTGTCCCCGCCCACCGTGGCCGGTCCCCTGGGAGCTGGAGGAGCCAAGGCTGGTGGGGGCGAGACCGATGAGGGAGCTCCCCTGTCTGGGCGGCTGTGTCTGCCGTGGCTGGGTGGGTGGCAGCAGGGGCTGAGCCAAGTGGACGAGTTCCCCGCGCACCAGGCCGGGGTGACAGTAGGGCGTCACTGAAGGATCTCGAGCCAGACAGTGGCACAGGTGGCATGGTCAGGTCACCAGCTTAGAAAGCTCACCTGGGGTCGGGGGGCAGGAAGAGGTCTTCCTGGCGACAGCCGGTGGCCCGGGGCGTATTTGGGGCAGGTTATCAAGGACCAGGTGGGCTATGACAGGAAGCAGCCCGATGATGCAGCGTCAGCAACACAGGGGCTCGGGTGGGTCCCACACTGCGCACGGCGGGGGGGCGGGGGTGCTTGCTTGTGTTTGCTGAGTCTCCTCCCCACCACTTGGCCACTCCATGGTTGAGGAGATTAACCGACCTCCCTGCCTCAGTGTCCCAGTCTGTACATCGGGAAGGAAGCGATACACAGGGCTGCCTCTTAGGACGCAAAGAAGGCATGAGAAGCACGGCCCGGGTAGTAAGTGCTGGGCTGGCTTCCAGAGGGCTCCCCAAACCGTCACTTATCCTTAGCTCAGGGCTCTGCTTCCGGAAGACCGAGGGTCAGGACTGCTGGGACGGCCCGGGTGCCAGCTTGAACAAGGCAGGAGGAGCTGGGTTTCTTCAGGGGGCGCACATCTTTCTAACTCCCCGGGTCTAAGAACCCAGGTGTCGGGGGTGATCACACTCACGCAGGAATTCTAAAACTCCGTACGACGGAGGCTGGCGTACTTTCCTACAAAGGACCCTAGGAGACGCACATGCGGAGTGTGAGGCCCGCGGCGCCCTCTGCTGGTGCCCGGAGGCCTCCCGTTCTGCCAAGTGGCTCTTGGACGTGGTTCTTACTTAGAACATTGGGCATTCTTCTGTTTTTTTTCTAAGTTTATTTATTTTGAGAGAGAGAGAGAGAGAGAGAGGGATGTGCAAGTGGGGGAGGGGCAGAGAAGGAGAGAGAGAATCCCAAGCAGGCCCCGCACTGTCTGCACAGAGCCCGACGCAGAGCTCAAACTCACGAACCACGGGATCGTGACCTGAGCCAAAATCAAGAGTCAGATCAACCAACAGAGCCCCCCAGGCGCCCCCATCACACATCCTTCACCCCCGCAGCGGCCCAGCCCCGTGGTAGCAGCCACAGGCCCCAAGCTCTTCCTGGGGTCGTTTCTTTGGCCGAGCCCTTCGAAGGCCGCCCATCCTTTGAAGACCCTTTCAGTATCTCGAGTCCCATGGTTTGAGCCCCGTGTGCCCCGGACTATAATCCAGCACCTGCCACATTCTCCATGCACTCTGATTGTGACGTCTCCTTGCCGCCTTCCAGAACTGCAGCTTTGGGAGGGGGTGGGAGGGGGCGCAGAGGTAGGCGGCCACGGCTGCCTCGGGGGCCGAAAGCCTTCGCCTGCCCGGGGCTCGGCTGAGAAGCCGCAGCAGAACCTGGAGCGTGCGGCGGGCAGGTCCCCAGCGTGGCCCCAGCCCGGGCTGGCGGTGGGACGGTGCTCGAGGACAGCCACCAAGTCGGGAAGTTGCACAAAAACCGGAAGGGCCAGCCAGCCAATGGTGACGACACCTGTATGCTTTCTGAAGGCCGAGGCCATTGGCCCTTCCTCCTGCAGGGCTCCGTCTTGACCAAGTCAGGAACGGAGTGAAGTCCTCCAGTCTTGTAGAGACTTTCACGACACCTCACGGCCTAGGTAGAAGCCCGGGAAAAGGTGAGGGTCAGGGAAGTCACGCACAGGTAGCAGCGCCCCTGGTGAAATCTGGGCGGGCTGCTCCCCGGCCCCCAGAGCCGCAGCCGGGAAACCCCATCTGAAGCAAAGTGTGTCAGGACGTGGAAGTAAAGCAGGGGGCTGGGGGCCCGTGAGGTGGGGGAAGGGTGGGGGCCTCACTGTTGGGTGTGAGCCCCCAGCCGCCCTGCGTGGGGGCCCGTGGTCCCGTATTTCAGGTGCATCGGGGGTCTTGTAGGCCACTGCCACACCCGCCTCCAGTGTGTCACCTCAGGTCACCTGCCTCCCCTGGGGGGGGTGTGGCTGGGGTTCGTGCTTCGCCGCATCCAAGCGGGGACGTGGAAGGAGGGGGCCAGGAGGGACGGCCAGCTGCCGATCACCCTGCGGCCGTCCTACAGAATGACCTCCTGAAACCTCCGCCACCAAGTCGCCCCCACGCAGGCTTCCTCGTTTGGAAAGGGACACCTTCCTTGTCCCCCCCTCCCCTGCACAGTTGAGCAGTGGTTTTAGATAAAGATGGACTGTGCACACTTCCCGCCCGAGCCCGTGCAAGCATCACTCACACCACTGCGTTTTCAAGCTGAAAACCGCTCTGGAAAGCAGGATTTGCTCGCCGCCCCTGGGGTTCGGGGGGTTTGTGCCAATGACCGCCGCGTGGGAGTCAGGGAGGCCTCCGTGTCCCGGTAGGTGGTACGGGGTTCTGACCTGCTTAGAGAGGGGCGTGGGGCCTCCCCCGCGGGTCGGGGCACCCCCGCACACCTGAGAATTAGCCCGACAGGGACATGCCTCCACCCCCCACCCCCCATCAAAGTGGTTCCCCTCGCCAGTTTGTGTCCAGGCCGCTCTCCCCTGGTTCGTGTCGATTGCTTTGCCCCTTCCGGGAGCAAACCCGTTGCTAGCTGGCAAGAGAACGTTCCCGGCTCCTGCCCTCGATGTCTAGAGAAAGCAAGCCCGGGTTAGGAAGCCTGCTGTGCCCACGGAAACAGAGGGGAGGGGTGATTCGTGACCTTGAGGATATCGTTGATGGCTGGGGTAGGTGGAGTTCACTAGAACACTCTTTCTGGGTTTAAAATGTACGTAATAGGAAGTTAAAAAAAAAAAAAAGTACCTCAATGCAAGCAAAAAGCCCTTTCCTCTTCACCCAGGTAGCCGGCCACGCCCTGCAGCCCCACTAAGCTGAGCAGCGCAAGCCTGCAGCGTCCCCAACCGTTGGGCACAGGGCTGGGTCCAGGTGCCGGCTCCGGCCCCCAGAAATAGCGGGGGCAGCGACGCTGGGGCCCACGCAAGGCCTGGCACCCGGAGCACCGCGCACTCGCTCACTCGGACTCTCTCTCTCTGCACAGGTCGCACGGGGCAGGCGGTTGCTGTTCGAGCCAAGGCCTTCGGATTCAGCGTCCTATTTTATGACCCCTACTTGCAGGATGGGATAGAGCGGTCCCTGGGCGTACAGAGGGTCTACACCCTGCAGGACTTACTGTACCAGAGCGACTGTGTCTCCTTGCACTGTAATCTCAACGAACATAACCACCACCTCATCAATGACTTTACTATAAAGCAGGTAACGGGACCTAGATCCCCTCAGCCCCCGGAAACGTCCATCAGAACCAAAAGGGGGACGGGAAACGGTCCGTGGACACACTGGCAAAAAAGGAAGACAGTCCCCTAAGACGTGAATGAGAAGCCAGGTGAGGCCCCTCGGCAGGATGGGCCAGGTGGAGCTGGGACTGGCAGGAGCTACCCAGCAGGGACCTGCCTTAATGAGGTTTGGCCTCCAGGCAGCGACAGGCAGGGGACCGGTCACAGCTCCAACCGGCCTGCCCTCCGGCCCTCTCTCGGGATCGGCAGAAACTTGACCCAGCTGCCTCCAGCTGTCGCTGAGACACCACACTGCCTTCGTCCCAAGTGCTGCACACGCGTTCAGTAGCCAGGTGGACAGAACTCCTCTGGGCCGTGGCTGGCGTCTCGAAACCGCAGTACAGGTGCCTTCCGGCGTGGTGGCATCTAACGGCTCTTCCTTCCTCCCACAGATGAGGCAAGGAGCTTTCCTAGTGAACGCGGCCCGCGGCGGGCTGGTGGACGAGAAGGCCTTAGCGCAAGCCCTCAAGGAAGGCAGGATACGAGGGGCAGCCCTCGACGTGCACGAATCGGAGCCTTTCAGGTGAGCCTGGCGGGCTGCTGGCACGCGTGTTACCCCCAGCTCCCGGCCTCACTCCAGGAACTCCCAGGGCCCACTTCTATACCTGGCTGCCCCCGCCCCCACCGTGAACTTGGGGCACTTTCCCAGAGAAGCAGCTCCTTGGGCAGGAAAGGAGAGACATTCTCCGGCCTCTGTCCTGAGGGCTATGCTGTACTTGAAGCGAGCGTGGGAGAGCCAGAGGGCCCCCGGGGGGAGGCAGAAGGCGTCTGAAAGGAAGAAGAATGGTGTGTTGGCCGGCCAAGGCTTCCTCTGTCCCCTGGGCCATTGATTCTTAGAGACCGGCTGGCCAGTCCTGCTTAGATGGTTCCTCCTCCGTTCTGAGTCCCTTATCACTCCTGACACCCCTTATAAGAGTCTTGATACGTTCTTAAACTCCCAGCCTTTAGGAGACATACTACCAAACGTTCCTCTACACAAGCCAAAGAGCCCATCCTCCACCCGGGCGGGAGCTCCCTTTTGACGAATAGGATAGGGGTTGATATTCACGTTTTCTCATTTGCTGCGTTTTTGTACATTTGTCCAGCTTTGCTCAGGGTCCCTTGAAAGATGCACCGAATCTCATTTGTACGCCCCACACAGCTTGGTATAGTGAGCAAGCCTCACTGGAGATGCGGGAGGCCGCCGCCACCGAGATCCGCCGGGCCATCACAGGTGAGCCCTCCCTCTGCACCCCCTTGCAGCCGGCGCCTGGCGTGAGCCCCGCGGTTCAGGTGCTCCTGGTACTGGTAACACACACACACACACACACACGCGGGAGGGGTGACGGAGGCTTGTGACGGGCAGAGAGAGTTTAGGGATCAAGTTGATTCCATTTTGAACGAATTGACGCAGTTTATTCGAGCCCTGAACTGAATTTCAGACAAAACCAATTTCCTCTCTCGTTGGCCATCATAAGCGTGCGAACTGCAGAGGGACCCCGAGCTCCTTTGTGCTCTGGCTGATGTCTGGGGTGAAGAGTTTGGTGTGTGGGCCCTGGAACACGGCACATTTTCTGAAACTCGAAGGGTTGGCCCTCTTATTATAAAGACACTTTACAGTCAGACTACCGTCAGTTCAAACATTGTAGGTGGTTCTCACCAGTACCAGCTACGAAGTAGAATATTTAACTCACTCCTTACAAAACACATAGGATTCTGGGACGCCTGAGTGGCTCAGTCGGTTGAGCACCCAACTTTGGCTCAGGTCATGATCTCACGGCTTGTGGGTTCGAGCCCTGCGTCAGGCTCTGTGCTGACAGCTCGGAGCCCTGGAGCCTGATTCGGGTTCTGTGTCTCCCTCTCTCTCTGCCCCAACCCACTCGCATTCTGTCTCTGTCTCTCTCAAAAATAAACAAACATTAAAAAAAAAATTTTTTTAAACACATAGGATTCATTTTAATCATCGTGTTCCAGGTCGCATCCCCGAAAGCTTAAGAAACTGTGTGAACAAGGAATTCTTCGTCACAACAGCTCCCTGGTCAGTAATAGATCAGCAAGCCATTCATCCGGAGCTCAACGGCGCCACATACAGGTGAGGAGCGGGATGGCATTGGCCGAGGCTGGTGTGCCGCTCAGGGGAGATGGGAGGAGAGTGGCATCAGCTACCCGACCTGAGTGCTCCCGGCATGATCTCTACAGTCCTTCGTTCCGATGCCCAATTTCTATGGAGCAAACACAACTCTCGGATGCAGCCTCGAGTCCGGGCTCCTATTTATAAAAGGAGGAGTGGGTCTGATCGCTGCAAGAACCCCCACTGCATTCCAGGCCACTGCAAAACCAGAGGGCTTCTAGGTGAAAAGGTACCGGAAAGATTTTCAAGTGAAAGGGCATGTTGGTGACTCTTTCTGGTTTGAATCCTCTGGCCCAGAGCCTGGTGCTTTCGACTGGGGAGAGTGCCCGCAACGCACGGGTTCTCAGTGACGAGAAAGCTTGGCCCGGGGCATGTGTGATGGAGGCAGTGCAGGGGCATCTGCTCCGGGGACACGAGCCACAGCCCCTTAGAAGGGAGCAGAATTTCACTGGTGGTCATTTCCCCTGGCTCTCTTTTCCCCGCCGTGCTGGGCTCACAGAATCACTGTTCCTGCTTCATAAAGGAGCCGCAGCCTTGAGCACTCCAGAAGGAAGTCTTTGTCTTGTTTACTGGAACGCACAGTTGCCCCATCCCTGGCAGTATTCACATACCAGGCCAGATCATTCTCTCCTGGGAACCCGTCCCGTGCATCGTGGGGCGCGCAGCGGAGGCCCTGCCCTCCACCAGTGCCTCGCACTTCCAACCGGAATAACCGGAAATGGCTCTAGCTGTTGCCTAACATCCCCTGTTGCAAACCACCGCTCTAACCACCGGGGCCGGGGACATAGAAACACAGCTCGTGTAGTGGGACCCACCCATGCAGGCCCGGACTCGGGGGAAGTTATGCTGCTTTCTTCACGGTCTCCTGGCTTCCCTATCAGTGCCGGACCCTGGTTCCCGCTCCGCACTGTTGTCCTTTAGAGGCCACAGCGTTAATTCTTACTTTTGACAGACCAAGACCCCGTGGCCCCTCGGAATACTTCTGCTTGAGGGGCTGTCGCTCACAGGATCCTATTCACCCGAGTCTGGGATTTTTGAGCGCTGAACACTTGTGTTGTGACAGGCTACAGGAGGGGAGCCAGGAATAAAGGGCTTGATACCTTTGAGGAGGAGTCTTGGAATTCTAAAGCACCTGCCCCTAAGTATGTTTCATCCTAGGGATGTTTAAATACACTGACTCACATTTGCCTAAGAACCGTATGTTCTGTAGGCGGCTTAATGCCACGTGTCCTTGCACACACAGCGACTTGTGTGCCCGCGACGTCAGATGGCCCACCACCAGCTCCCCTCTCCCCCTGCCGCTGTGTCCAGGCCACGACAGCACGGAGCTAGCTCGCCTAGGAGGCCGCACTTAACTATCAAAGAGGACTTCATACTGCCTGTTGGCAAGTCATTAAAAGCATCGATGTGTCTTTTTTGTGCAAAGTATTTCCCAAATGTAGTACGGGCTGGTCCTGTTGTGCGACAGGAAGCTTCCAGATTGAACTAAACAGACTTCATTGCGAGTTACACGTCCGCGCTTTAGATTTTTCACATAGAGGTCTCCTTGCGTTGGGGGTAAGGGGTGACAAAGTAACTCCTAAAAAACCAACCCGAAGCAGGCAGAGCCAAGAGCTTGGCCACTTCCAGCCCGGGACTCACTGGCCCTTTCTGTGTGTGCTCCTCAGATACCCGCCAGGCATCGTGGGCGTGGCTCCCGGAGGACTTCCTGCGGCCATGGAAGGGATCATCCCCGGAGGCATCCCGGTGACTCACAATCTCCCCACCGTGGCACACCCTTCCCAAGCTCCCTCTCCCAACCAGCCTACAAAACACGGGGACAATAGAGAGCACCCCAATGAGCAATAGCAGAGAATGACGAACGGTCATCCTTCAGATAAACCTGGGACCAAGAGACAGTGACAAATAGATGAACTAAGGAAAAGGAATCTGACCGTCTTTTTAACCGATTCCGGACACACGCCTCACTGATGTCGCAGTGTTACATACGAGCTAGACGCCGAGACGCGGGGAAGCAGAAGCTGTCGTCTGGTTACGGAAGCGCTGAAAAGACTAGGACGTGATTTATTAACGACCAACTTCTGTTATTGTGTGTTACGTTCTTCATCTGTGCATCAAATCACAAAGAATAAATAGATCTTTTTCCTTTATCAGCCCCTTGGGCACAGCAGGTCCTCAACACCTTGCTCTAGAATGTTGCATCTGAAGTTCCAAACGTCAAAATAAAAAATGCTAAGAGGAAATCCCCCTCCTATGACTCTAGTCCCTTCGGTCCGTGGGGGCTGGTGACCTCTTTTGCTAATAGGAAGATTCAGTTACTACAAGATGGGGAGGAGACTGTTGGCCTGTGTCACACAACCGCAAGCATAGGATCGAGGACCATACAGCCTCCTGTACAGAAGCCTCTCTCCCATCTGAACTGCATACTGAGCGGGCGAGTTGGTTGTGAAGTCAGTAATACCCTCTGATGATGCAAAAAAAAAAAAAAAAAAAAAAAAAAAAAAGAAAAAGAAAAAAGAAAAAAAAGTATTAAGTTTCACAAGCTGTTTGTACTCAAATATATTTTCTCAGTTTCAGATCCTCAGCTATTTTATTGAGTGGAAAGTCTTGAGCTAAAAGAGTTCAAGAAAAATAATGTTGCATTTCCTTATGTCTCAGGAAACACTTTTTATGGTAACTTGTCAGATTGTCTATGAACAAACCCACTTTTTTAGACATTGATAAAGTCTTCTTTTCTTCACGTGATATTTTATACAAGAACACTTCAGGTGTGTTATTAGATGTGACTGATTTTAACAAATCCTATTAGATTTGTATCAACTAGTTACATGTTATATTCATAGTCTTTTGTGAATCATCGCCTTTTTGTTTAAAAGATGGCCTATTTTGAGCCTTTGTATAGGTACATTCCTGTTTTTGTGACAAAAAGAAAAAAAAAAAAAAAAACCTTTAAAACTGTCCCAAACAGAAAAATAATGGCTATCGGAACTGTTTTGTTTTCGTGTGAGTCACCGTTCCTGTATTTGTTTATTGTAAAGGTGGACATATAGCGTTCAGTGCAGTTTTCAATAAAAAGTAATAAAAATTTGTTAAGTTCTGAAATTCAAGTACATCTCACCCATGTAAAAGTTCTCTACTTGAGATGTTTTAAAAGCAAATACATTTTCGATCAGCCAGTTTCCGATTCCTGTTACTTCAGGCAGGGTTCAAAGATGAACAGTTTCCTTCTCTACCTATTCATAACCAGACTCAAGAATGCGGACGATCACCCGGGAAAAGTCAAAACCTCACGTTACGAAGCCCATCGCTATCAGATGATGCCATCCTTCAGATGGAACTAACTCGATTCAAGAAACAAAATTGGTCAAGTTAGAGAGTTCTGCTTTTAATTTGCCCAAAAGCAAAATTACCTGGCTCAAGCATTAATGCAGGAAGGGAAGTGAATCTCAAAATTCTTTTAAATGATATTTACAAAGAAATGTTGCAAAATGGTAACATCAGTCATTCCCATCTGTTAAGAACTTAGATGTAAAGGATTTTCCTTCTTGACTAGCATTAAACCCCTTTGTACTCGTGGCCTGTGCAAGTACTAGTCGACCACTCCAGTCCAATTCCAGGTACCAAACTCCCTCTCGCTCCCTTCCCGTTAAGAAAAGGGTGTCTTCAAAGCATCAACCTCCCTCACTCGGGTGAAGGTGGTGGTCCCATCTCAGCCCTCCCAGAAAAATCACATTAAAACAGCCTCCTCTGGACAGGCAGGAGCACGTGGTAACTGACCCACCACCCCAGGAAACCCAATGGGAGCTGAACATCCTCGTCATAACCAGGATGTTGGCAACGAGGGCGTGACACGTGCACACGAGTTTCCCCACCTGCCTAAAGAGAGCAGTGCTCCCTTAACACAGACGAAGTCTGGGACACGGTGAGCCTAGAGTCGGAAACAAAAAGGCCGGTTCCAGTCCGTGGTGCACCTAGGTTTTGTTTAATTAGAACAGAAAACACCACACTGTATTCTCCCTAAAAAAACAAAACAAACCATAAAGTTAATTCCATACAGTTCTGGTATTACTGTCCAGAGTCCACCAAGACATGACCTTTGAGAAAGGACCGCGTACTCTCATCTTGGGATGACAGCCATGGCTATTTAATCGCTCAAGAGCTGAACCTAGCACTGACTCACCAACATTCTGGCCTCTTCCAGCCAATCTGCTATGAAAACCATTTAAAGCCCTGTCCCTGCCTGGAGCCTAGGAAATGCAATCCTCTACCTTTCCCACAGGGAAGAACGCTGTACCTGTTAAACTAGGTGTGGTTAAACTAGGTGTGGTCGGGATCACTGATCATAAATAAATAAATAAAGAGGCACCTCAGGGGAAACCACTCAGCAGACCACCACACACAGGCTAAATACTAAGCCTATGCTTTCTGGACAGCACTGACTGCAGTGTAGACCATAGTGACTAGATGCTTCTCTCTCAAGCATTTCTCTTTGGCTTCTTCAATTGGGAGGGCAGTGTGCTTACCAGCAACTAGAACAGGATCTGTGCCCACTGAAGAATTATTCCTACGTACGGAGAAAAGTTTATAGAGATGCTAAGTAGTCAGACAGCCTTCTAAAAAATTACTGACCAAAATGAAAGTAAACCATAGTCAATCTGTAGGAAAACATACCCACCTGGAACAGTGACATTTACCATTATTACATCACATTTCATTTATACGGAATCAAATTGCAAGAGTTTCCGGCAAGTTTGAGCATACAGCAAAAGTGATCCTTCGTTCTGGGAGTATCTTTCAATGGACATTTCTGAGAGGAGAAAGAACTAAAAGGACATCTCCTGGGTGTTTTTCTATTTTTAGTATTCCAGCATCAAATTAGAGGCTGTGCACATTTCAAACACCATCTAAACAACTGAGAAGAAAACAAGTATTTAAAGGTTTCTCGCAGCCTTTTCATCAAAGGGAAGGAAGCGTGTGCGGGGGGGGGGGGGGGGGGGGGGGGGGGGGGGGTTCTTTCCAAATTCCTTTGCCACGTCAATAGTCTACAAAGTGCTTATCAGGACACGAAGTCTTTGTGCTCCTGAGATAGGTCTGAAATTTTTACCCAGTACTGAACATATACCTGAAGTGGTCAAATAATACTTTTTATAAAAAAATTTCTATCTAAGATTATAGTTTGAACTTTTAAATAAGAATGGCCACAATTAACCAACATGCACAAATTCTCAGACTGCTGTGAGAAATTCATTATACAATGCATTTACCACCTTACTGCATTTTTAAGTCTTTATTCTATGCTTAACTGATTCCCAATTAGCCCAAGCAAAGGCATGCCTCCCTAACACAATTGGCCGAAAGCAGAGCTGATGATAAAAGGAAGCATTCCAAAGAGCCTCTGCATGGCAATTTGGGAGAACATTGTCAACTGAATCAAGTGAGCGAATTTCACACAATTGACGTAATCACGTGTGGGCCTGCGCCCCGAGCGCTTCCCTGACATCCAGGGAGGAACTGTTCCCGAGGACACTGCCGTGTGGACTCTGGTGGAAGAACCCTCATTTTAAGGGCACTTTTCCAAACGAATAAATGCCTGAATACCGAAAAGGGGCATATCAGGAGCTTTTAAAAAGGACAAAATAATAGAAACCCAAACCCTTTCCAAAACAAGGGAATGACGTCTGTATGAAGTTCCCTCAATCCTTACTTTTCTTCCTTGCAGAGTTTGTTCCTTGAAGATTTGGTTTCATTTTATGGGGCACAACAGGAACTAAATTATTAATAAAATAAAAGCTTGTTTTTATTTTTACGTGTGGCTGTGGATAATCTGTACAAAAAGTTTCCAGATTTCTAATGCGCTCTAGTGAGACTCAACGTAAAGTGGATCTTTTAAGGTTGAAGTAGAATGTCGGGTTCTACTTAAAAAAGAAGATCTCGAAGGAACAAAGAGTCATCTGCCATGTGCTTTTGGAGGTGCCCGTGCTGAAAAAAACGTCTCGATAATATGAAGATGCTGGTACAACTTGTCCTATTACACAACTTCTTACACAACCACATGCGTTACATTTATAGACAGATTTACAATTTGAAAGGAAAAAAGTTCTGTCTTAATAAAATTAGGGTTTTTTTTTTTTTTACAAACTGTAGTCCAAACAAAGGTCTCTGTCTCCTCACGCAGCAGATTCGTCGTCTCCACCGGGTGTGGACAAGAGACACCCTTCCCGGCAGGTCCAGCCACATCTGGGTCCCTCGGCGCCCCCCACTCCGCCGGGAGCGCGCACCACACTAGCTCTGGGGTCGCCGCAGAGCCGATACCCTGGTCTTCTGCTCTTGGGTCTTGTTTTCATTCATCTTCATCGTCGTCGTCTTCCTCTCCGTCAGACAGGGAAGTACAAGGCCGGATCTGTCTGTAGCGGTCAAGCCACTTCTCCACCATGTGCGTGACCAGCGGGTGGTTGCGCCGCCGAGAGCTCTTTTGCAGGGCCACCAGCACGCCGCCCTCGGTCACACAGCAGTCCAGCCACTCCCGGAGTAGCTTCTCCTGCTGCTCCTCGTTACCTAGCTTTTGGAGGGATGTGAAGAGGGAAGAGAGGATCACAGATCAGAGGCCTGCTAGGAAAAATGCATGGAAACATAGCTGGTATGATTACTGATGAAAAGGTCAAAGCAACAAACTTCACATGGTTTCAGCCTCTTGTCAATTTTACGATTAAAACCCAGTTTCCTACGGTTAAACAGAAAAACATCAGTGGCGGGGACGCCTGGGTGGCTCAGTGGGTTGAGCGTCAGGGCTTTGGCTCAGGTCATGATCTCACGGTTTGTGAGTTCGAGCCCCGCATCGGCCTCTGTGCTGTTGGCTCGGAGCCTGGAGCCTGCTTCGGATTCTGTGTCTCCCTCTCTCTCTGCCCCTCCCCTGCTCACTCTTTCTTTCACTCATTCACTCTCTCTCTCTCTTCTCTCTCTCAAAAATAAACATTTAAAAAAAAATTCAGTAGGAAAATTGGCAGAAAAAGACCTCGAGGGGAAGAACCATCTAGTAATAGGTTAATTTGTTTGCCAGAACAGGAAAAACCAAATGTTAACCTAATAAACCTATGGTGGCAAAGAAAAGGCTAGAAAAACAAAGTCTCAGCTTCAAACACATGACAAGGTAAGTTTATTCAGTATTTACAGAAAGAAGTGATAAAAATTATGGTCTATTAATTTTTTTCTTAATGTGATTATAACAGTTTTATAATAATGACTAGTACATTAAATAAAAGACCAATAATTTTTGTAAGAATGTGCGTTTTCTGAGAGCGTTCTTTCTGCGCATCCTCACCATCACCCCTGCCTGGGTCTCCACCTCCCTCCACTCCCCACCCCATCTGCAACACCCTCCGACCTGGGCTCCCGCTCCCCCCGCTGCCCAGGCATCTCATCTCCACACTGAGCAGCTGGTGTTCCTCTACTGGGCAAGCTGGTTGTTGGCTTCCCAGCTTGCAAAGTCAAAGCCAAGGCTTTAAAAGGCTGCTGCTGAGTGAGCCCCTTGCCATCCCTTAGCCCTTCGACCCCCTCTACCTACCACCCTCGTCCTCCCTATCCTGCAAGACTCCTCTTCCGGGTCTCGCGGGCAGGGTCACCTCCTCCTCAGATGCCTTTGGTCACCACCCGATTAAACATGTTTTCTATATATTTATTTGAGAGAGAGGGAGACACAGAATCGGAAGGAGGCTCCAGGCTCCAAGCTATCGGCACAGAGCCTGATGCGGGGCTCGAACTCACGAGCCGTGAGATCTTGACCTGAGCCGAAGTCGGATGCTCAACCGACTGAGCCACCCAGGGGCCCCTGGTTACCACCCGATTTAAATCACCAGGCCCAAGTCCCCCGTTGTCCCCTCCCCCCGTCTTTCTACTTTTGCCCTCAGCGCTCCTCGCTACCTGAGAGGGAGGGTGCAGGGGACTTTTGTCTTCGCGTCACCGCTGAAATCTCCACGTAACACAACCCACCCCACAGCTGAAAAAAGGTAAACTTCGAAGTCTGGCTGACCTGTATTTACACAAAGGGACACTAACTACGGCCAAATCAGAAGCTTCCGCTGGCAGCACAGACAGGGAACACCCCACCGGAGAGGTGTCCCGGGCCGGGCTGCGGCACAGACGCTACTGGAGGAGCCAATGGGAGCGACGCGCCTCTCACCTCCTGAGCAGAAAGAAAGTGCACGTGCAGTAACTTCCTTTCGCTGTCCACCAGAGGCAAGAACGTGACAGTGACGTCGTCGTCCGTGTTCAGGTTAGCACCAGCACCTCGGTTGCCGTAGCCATCGTTTTCCATGGCAACCAAAGCAGAGAAGTGGCCCCTTGTATAGCCCAGAGCGATCGGACTTTTCCAACAAAAACTCTGTTCCCACAACAAAGGCAAATAAACACCTGGAGGGAAGAAAGACCAGCACAACAGGGTCATTGGGACTGGTCTGCAAAGCGTATCCTACAGAAGGCGACTTCTAAAATACAAAATACACTTGAGTAAGGGCTTACCTTGAAACCGAGTATATCCTAAAGTTTCTCCCCGGAAACTTTTATAATATTTCACTCCATAAACTATAATTGGTCGTCTAAGAATATGTGCAAGTACAAAAATGTGCGTCTGTTCCAAGCTTGCTCCAGGCTGTGCGGAGTAAAATAAAAAAGTAATTTCTCTTTAAAACGTTCACTGCCACCCAGGAAAACTGATGTGCAGAGCACAGAGCTCCTCCCCGTCCGTGCGCTAGATCCGTTTTTTTCTTTTAAATAACACCGTCAAGCTAAGTGAGCATAAAATTCTGCAAATTCTTCCAACGCAGTCATAAAGGAAATCTGCGAAGCGTACGTATACAGGTATCTTTCACTATCCAAACTCAAGAAGCCAACAGACTGGGGTGAATACTGATCACAGGAACAAAAGCCACAGATGGCGAGGGATGCCTGGTGCACGGTGACCACCCGCTGGGGAAGGTCCCTGCGAAACCCGCACCCACGACGAGGTCCTCCCCAAGTAAAAAGAGGAGCTGCTATTTCAGGCAAACTTAAAACGCAGCACCGCCTAATTCAAGACGACTACACAGGCCCACCGCCCGACAACAAATGGGACAACACGTTTTCAGAAAGTACACGTCACAGCTGTAAAACAGCCACTGTGACAGAAGGTACTTCGTTCACAGGGTTCAAATAAATCACAGTGCTCTCTGCAAAGAAAAGGAATGGTCTCCTGTGTGTGTTTCTGAATGTTCCGGTTCGCTATACTGAACATGCTTCGTGGAATAAAACTAGCTTGAAAGCCAGAACCCGAGAGGAACGACCATGCACAATTCATTTTTATAAAAGTTCATTCCCAAGTTAATTACAAATAGCTCCACCTGTTGGCCATGGCACCTCCCCCCGTGGGCCCGACAGCAGAGCACCGGGACCGGAGTGCCTGCCGCACCGCACAGTGATCTTCGTTAGGTGCCCCCTCGGACACGGAACTAGTAGGTAGATGAAACGGGCCTAATGCCACCTTTCTAAGACGACGACATATATGAAGAGCAATCTGAAAAGGCTACGTAAGCCCTTACGATCATCACAGGACAACTTTCGTCTTGTCACTCAATGGAACTGCGAAACACACAGTAGCATCTCTGTCCTGCAGGAGGACTCCCGTATGGTCACCCAGCTGACAGACCACGGTCACGACCAGAAACCAAGGCACCCGCTGCCAAGCCAAGCACTCTTCTGCTCCTCCCAAGCCACCTGCAATCTGGCTTCCGCGTGTACATCAAGGGACTGAAGAACACGCAGCCAACTTCTCACGGAAGCAACACGCCTCGCGGCATTCTCACCTGGCTGGCAAGAGACAGTATGAATGCCCAGTCTTCTTGCCACTGTTCTTCCCTCAAGGAGAAATGTAAACCAAAGCTCTGAGAATACCACGATTCCCAATCTTTCCAACGTGTGTAAAACCTAAAACGGCAAGACAGTAAACAATTAGCCTTCTGTAAGCAGTACGTTTAATGTGCCATTTAATGTAGTCTTTAAGCAATTCATGTAAAGAGATGAACAATTCTATTAATTTTCCCCAGTTTGCCATTTATTTTCACATCAAAAATGCCTACGCTCTACCAGCAGACATCACGTAACATGTTCTCACCAGAACTTTAAACACTAATAATGAGATCAATTCATTTCAAATGTCTACTACTGACTGACGGAGTTCAAAAACAAATAGAACATTCGGAATCATTTGAGATTGCGGATACAATCAAAGACACTACCATTTTACGTTAATGCATAGAACGCACTACTGGGTCACTGTGTAAACAACAGACTGGAAAATAGCCCACGTATTCACTAGGTGTATCAACGTCGCTCCCAGAGCAAGGCCCTAATGCTCTTCAATTCGATGAAGGCTCAGAGAAGTGAGGAAAGTAGCAAAGAAAAATCTGAAACTAGCAGAGGTTGGTTCACGAGGTTTAAGGAAAGAAGCTATCTCCAGACATCAAAGTGCAAAGCGAATCAGCAAGTGATACAGAAGCTATGGCATGTTTTCCAGAGAACCTAGCCAAAATCACGAAGGTGGCTACACTAAACAAATTTTCAATGCAGATGAAACAGCATTCTACTGGAAGAAGATGCCATCTAGGACTGGTATAGCTAGAGAGGAGCAGTGCCTGGCTTCAAAACACAGGCTGACTCTCTTGTCAAGGGGGCTGATGCCGCTGGTGACTTTAAGTTGAAGCCAATGTTCACTGACCGTTCCAAAAATCCTAAGGCCCTTAAAACTGTGCTAAATATACTCTTGCTCTATAAAAAGAACAACAAAGCCTGGATAACAGTACGTCCATTTACAATATACTTTCCGAAATATTTTAAGCCCACTATTAATGCCTACCCCTCATAAAACTCCTTTCAAAATATTACTGCTCACTGACAACGCACCTGCTCGCCCAAGAGTTCTGATGGAGATAACCAGATTAATGTTCTCATGCCTGACAACACCATACCCACTCTGAAGCTTATGATCAAGGACTAATTTCAACTTTCTAGGCATTATTTGAAGTAAGGCTACTGCAGCCATAGACACTGACTCCTCAGATGGATTTGAGCAAAGGAAACTGAAACGTGTCTGGAAAGGATTCACCATTCTGGATGCAATTAAGAACATTCCTGATTCATGTAAAGAGGTCAAAATAGCAACAGGAGTTCAGAAGGAGTTGATTCCAACCCTCACGGAGGACTCTGGGGGGCTCAAGACTTGCGTGGAGGAAGTTAACTGTACATGTGGTGGAAACAGCAGAGAACTAACTAGAAGGGGGGCCCGAAGACGGGACTAGGCTGCTGCCATCTTGTGACAGCACTGGAACGGATGAGGACTTGCTTCTCATGGATGAGCGATGAAAGGGTTTTTTGCAATGGAATCTAAAACTGGTGAAGCCGCCGTGAAGACTGTTGAAATGACAACAGAGTGATTTAGAACATGACAACCGTAGTTGATGCAGCAGTGGCAGGCTCTGAGAGGACGGACTCTGATTTTGAAAGAAGTTCTAAGAAAAATGCCATCAAATCACATCGCACGCTACAGAGAAACCATTCATGAAAGGAAAGGTCAATCGATAACTTCACTGGCATCTTATTTTAAGAAACTGCCATGGCCACCCCGGCCTTCAGCAGCCACCACTCCGATCAGCTGGTAACCATCAACATCAAGGCAAGAGCCTTCGCCGGCAAAAAGACTATGACTCACTCAAAGTTCCACTGATGCTCAGGGCTTTTTTTTTTTTTTTTTTTTTTTTTTTTTTTTTTTTAAGACCTACTGCTATAGCACTGACTACGGACTACAGGATACTGTAAACATGAGCTTCTATATGCACTGAGGAAACCAAAATACTCCTTTGGCTCACTTTATGAAGACAGTCACTTAACTGCAGTGGTCTGGAACTGAACCCACGTATCTCTGAGGTATGCCTGTACGTATTATACGCTGAATCGGGAAGGTTCTAGGTTTGCCAGCCAGGGAGCTTAGTTTTTTTTTTTTTTTCGGTGACTTCAAAGTTCTCCTCTATTGCATTATTATGCTTTGATCGATAATTTCGCTCTCAAGGAAATTATTCAGATGCTCTCATTTTCGAATTCTCGAGAGTGCTTCCATTCAGTACCGTTTACTGCACACTTACTATGTGTCACGCTATTGGAGGCGCTACATCTTCCACAATGAAACACAACAAAACCTCTGTTCTCAGAGTTTACATTCTAATGGACTTCACGTAATCCCTAAATACTGACAACAAAATTCACAACTAGTAAGTGCTCAAAAATTATATAGAGATACTAGGGTAATAAAGTTATTTGGAGTAAGGTCATTATCATTACTCTGTCAGCATTCAAGTAGGTGTAAGAGAAAAAAAGCACCTTTTCATTAATTTAAGTTTCTTTTGGCCTCAGTTTTCTCATGGAGACGATGTATATACAGAACCAAGAAGATATCGTAAGTCAAGTCAGTATAAAGCCAAACTGTGAGTCACAAGCACAGTCGTCATTTCCACTGATTAATACCCCAGTGGGTGAATTTACAGTTCAAGACTAGTTATATACTTGACTGGATGACAGGGTAAAACGAAAACATATACAGGATCCCCCCACTATCTGCAAGTTCACTTTACGCCCCTTCACTTTTATGAAAGACCTACATTAGCACCTGTTTTTGCCAAAACGAAATCTGAAGAGGACCTTCACGGCTACAAAATGGTCGCTGGATCTTTGCTTTGCACCATTTCAAAAGCTGACAAAAGGTTTCACAGAAATGCTACTTTTGGATAGCAAGGAAAATCTGTATACATAAAGGGCATTTTTGAGATAATTGGAAGATGGGTTATGCACCGTACATTGAATTACAGGGTCATGGTACAGGGTATTTTGAGAGAAAGCGGCACGTGTGCACGCGTGAGAAGGGGAAGGGCAGAAAGGAGAGAGAGAATCCCGAGCAGGCTCCACGCCGCCCACCTCAGGGTTCAATCTAAAGAACCGTGAGCTCATGACCTGCGGTGAAATTGAGAGCTGGATGCCTAACTGACCGAGCCCCCCAGGTGCCCCACACTACTGATTTCCTTAGACGTGGTAATGAGGATATGGTTGGGTAAGAGAATATCCTTGTTCTTCAAAGATACATGCTGAAATACCGACCGGTACAAAGCATCGTGATGACTTAAACTCATGAGCAAAGGGAAGTGCTTACACATGCAGAGACGAAGCACACGTGGCTAACCATTAGCCATTGGGCAATCCAATGAAGGAACGCTGGGGTCTGTTGCACTGATTTTTTAACTTTTCTATGGATTTCAAAATGTGCAAAATAATATGTGGTCTGAAGACTATGTCCCTAAGGAAAAAAACCTCACAATACAATACCAACATAATCTTTTCAATATTAAACACAACTATGAAATCATAATACTTAAAAATGTGGGCAAAGACCTTATCACTATTTAAGGCTACTACTGCAATGTTAAATGTTTCTATGCTAAAGCTCAGCAAAAAGGTATAAAAGCCATCAAAATGTTCCAAATGTCTCAATGTACAAAGTCAAATTTTTCCTGCCTAGCTTCCACAGGAAATATAACAGGAGAAAACTACCCCAACACTGTAAGGAAATGACTCAACAGGAGCACGCCTGGTTTTAAACAGGGAAGGGTGCCAGCTCACCAATGTGAACAGTCATGCAGGCTGTCATGCAGGGCTTTCCGAAGCACCGAGTCCTTGTCATAAATGCCCCAGGTAGCTTGTAGCACTGAATCAAGTAAGCAGTCTCCTGCGGTCCGGTTCCAAAGCGCATACAGTCGACTGTCCAAACGGGTAGCCAACTCCAAAGACCAGTTTATAATTGGAGATTCTTCTTCTAACTCTGTATAAGGAATTTAAATATCAAGTCCATTCTTTTTGTTTTTTAATGTTTATTTGGGGGGGGGGGCGGGGGGCGGGCAGAGGAAGTACAGAGAGAGAAGGAAACACAGAATCTGAAGCAGGCTCCAGGCTCTGAGCTGTCAGCACAGAGCCCAATTTGGGGCTCAAACCCACAAACCGCAAATCAAAGACTGAACGACTGAGCCACCCAAATGCCCCAAAATAACATGTTTGTTTTCATGCCTATGCAATTCAGGACTATTCACTGGAGGAAAGAACCCACTCTGTAGATGTATTAATAAGTTTATGTGTAATTTACTATTAAACACGTAAATAATTTTGATCAATTGAAATATAAACCTTCTGAGTAGTGGAAACATCTCGTGGCTCTACAATATTTTTCTCAACTTTTCAGTTCTTTACAATTTATTTTCTAAAAATGTTTAATATGGAAATATACTCATTCTAGAACAGGAAGTAGAAAACCATGGTGAAACATTTTTATACCTTTATTTATTCCCTGTATCACAGTTAAGAGCCATGAATAAGCATTCGTAATTTTTCTTTTTTCCAGTTTTACCGAGATAAAATTGACAGAATGAACATTTTTTTTTTAAATGTTTATCTATTTTGATAGAGAAAGACCATGAGCAGCGGACTGGCCCGGGGGTGGGGGGAGGTTGCCAGCAGCTCCATCTGCACGGTCAGCGCAAAGCCCAATGAGGGGATTGAACCCACAAACCATGAGATCATGACCTGAGCCAAAATCAAGAGTCGGACACCCAACCAACGGAGCCACTCAGGCACCCCGACAGAATGAACATTTTTAACGTCACAATGTGACACTGAGGGACTTTATGTTTTCAATCAAAGTAAAAATAAAACAAGTCAACCATACAACTGAAGTGCTCCAAACCTTAGAAAACAAAGAGCTTAGGGAAATTAAACTAAATCACACTCATTAATTCCACACTTACCTTTCTGAACATCTCTATCGAGCACCTCATCAAATAATTTTTCTTGGACTGTTGGAGGCAAGTCTTCAATATCTACAAATCAAAAAACAGACTTAAAAGATTTTCTTACGTTTCGTAACTTAATTTGAAACTTCCTCTAAAATAACTCCCTTGTCAGTGAAGGCGGTCGGATAGCTTCTTTTAAAAACCATGCATAGGGGCCCCTGGGTGGCTCAGTCGGTTGAATGTCCGACTTCAGCTCAGGTCATGGTCTCACAGCTCATGGGCCCGAGCCTGGAGCCTCCTTCAGATTCTGTGTCTCCCTCTCTCTGCCCCTCCCCTGCTCACACTCTCTCTCTCAAAAATAAATAAACATTAAAAAATATAGATTTTAAAAAACATGCATGTGTAATGTGTGTGCATACATGTAAAGTAAAATATTTTCTTTCTGTACTTCATTATCAAAACTGTTGTCTACCTAAAAATAATATAAAGTATATCTGGACCAATAATTGCATATAACTATTGTCAAAGAGACAATACTGGTAAAGAAGTGTAAAAAGGGACCCTTGTGCACAGTCAGTGGGAATGTAAACTGGTGTAGCCACCACTTAAAACAGGGTCCTCAAAAAGTTAGAAGTATCATCTGACCCAGCAATCCCACTTCAGTGTGTGTGTATGTGTGTATCCGAAGTAAATGAAAACAGGATATCGAAGAGGTACTGAACCCCCATGTTTGTTGCATTACTCACAACAGCCAAGATACAGAAACAACCCAAGTGTCCATCGATGGATGAATGAATAGTGATGTGGGGTGTGAGTGTGTGTGTGTGTGTGTGTGTGTGTGTGTGTGTGTGTGTGTGTGTGTAAAATGACAGGTTATTATTCAGCCAGGTGAAAATCATTTGCAACAACATGCCTGGATTATGAGGCATTAGGTGAAGTGGGTGTAAGAGAGAGAAAGACAAGACAAAAAAAAAAAAGTCAAACTCATAGAAACAGGGTAGAAAAGAGGTTACTAACAGCTTGGGCAAGGGAGGAAGATAAAAATTGGTAAAATGGTACAAAAACTTCCAAGCTATAAAATGAATAATGTTGAAGACCTAAGGAAACACCATGGTAACTATTTAACACTGTGTTGTATAACTGAAATTTGCTAGAAGTTACATGTTCTCATGGAAAAAAGATACATAAACATGGGATGGTGGGTGTGTTAATGAACTAGATGGGGGGAATCCTTTCACAATTTGTGCAAGGATGAAATCACAACAGACACATTAAATATTTGACAAGTAAATGACAACTCTCTCTCATTAAAACTGAAATAAAAGGAAAAAAAAGAGCAGGGCTATCTGATATTCAAGTTAATGATAATAGTAACAACCACATACAAATGTTTATCTGCCCTGGTCTCCCCACACTCTCAACCTCTGCTCAGGCCTATTGTTTTCAGACTTCAGAATCTTCTCATAAAAGCGAACGAACCATTAATTTTTGGCACACAGATCTCTGGTTCTGTCGTCCTCCTCAAATTCTCTACGGTTTGTTCAGTTTGCTAATGGAGCAGTCTACAGTAAAAAGCATTCCCCTTAAAAATTCTTAAAAAAAAAAATTTTTTTTAAGCTATTTTCAAGTCAGAGTAAAAATCTAAACATCACCAGAGTAAGCTTAAATATACAGAGTGCACTTCAAGTGAAATTTGATTTTAAAAGTCTTAGTGATGATCTCCTACCATTTGTACACGCCCGTGTTTATGTCTATATAAAAGCTCAAGACACATAGAATCAAGATGGAAGCTTTATTTTAGGAACTTTTGGTGTTTGGTGCATTTATTCAACGCCAAATGACCAAAAGGATCCCGGAAGACACTTCCAACTGTCACTGAATGGAAAAATGAAAAGCTGCGTCCCAAACACGGTAGAAATTAATAGAATGAGTGAAGAACATAGTAATGACACTTTCAAAAGAATGCCAGTATCTTCGATTCAAAAAATCTGACTCCACCCATCAAAAGCCCACGTTCTAATCCTATCTCCTGATACCAATAGCCAATGCCTATGTAATTTTAAAATAGGCATGAGTAAGAAAAAAAAAGTACACTGATAATATCCTAAAGTAAAACTGGAGAGAAAAATAAACGGCTAAAACAGATTTTTTGAAACATCTAAGGCCCACACCGAAATCAGTGGTTATCAGCCCCTATCTTCCTACCAGATCCAAAGCTGAAGTTTTACAAGGAGCCCCTGGACTGGTCACTTCCAGGATAAATACGGTAGTCAAGCAATTTAAAATGCACACATAGTAGCTAAGTTATCTGCTTTAACAGAAACCACTTCACTCACACCCAACAAAAACAATTATAATGAAGTGAACATTTCTTTTCACACTGAAATTTGGAGTTACCTGCTGGCAACGTAAATGTTACAAGGTCAGTGAGAAAATAGCAAGCAAAATCCCCCTTTCTCTGATGAAGAGAGGCAGCGATCTCTCGCCGGATTTGTTCTGTCAGTTCGGGACACACCATTGCAGGAATACACTTGGCTGCTTGTTGAGACACCTTAAATACAAAAGAAACTTTCCTCTGCATCTCATTTAACATTAATGTAAGCAGAAAACAACAGTATTTAAAAGAAATGACCAAACCTTCCCCGTAACTCAGGGTGTTATTTTGTTCATTTTAAAATAGATTAGGCACTATTTCCTCACCAGTGGAAGTACGGTTCAGTACAACTTTCCAGGAGGAAACTTACTTCTTAGGAATTTCTCCCAAGGAAATAAAATTTATGTAAAATGGTGTTGTTCACAAAGGTTCATCCTAGGGAGAGGGAGGGAGGACAGAAAACCACCTAAGTAAAACTAAGCATCATGCCCCCAATAAAAGCATTCTTAAAAAACAGGAAATTCCAGCTCATGGAGAAAGAGGAAAGTGCAAACACTCTTCTCCCGCTGGGTTAAGTAAGAATATTTCAAGCACCTTGACGTGGAATAAGGAAAGCATGACATTTTTGAAGGGTTAGTTCCCACTGACCTCAAATCCTTCCCCATCCGTTATACTTCTGAATATGTAAAAAAAAGCAGCTGGCTTCTCTAAGTGTGGAAGAGACAGCAAACATTCGAAGTCTAGCCCGACAGGAATGAAATGTGAGCAGTGATGTAGGTAGTGAGCACTCCGACAGAGAACTTCTAAACAAGGAGATGGCTAGAACCTTCCTTTTCTTTTTAATGATGGATAGCCACAAAAGCAGCAGAGATATTTTACATTTAAGCCGCATGCCTTTGTGGAGCTCAAAAACTCGGCATACAAAGAGTTTTGAAATCAAAGGTGAGTATCTTCTACAGAGGAAGGGAGTCTGGCGTGAATCCTGTGTGAGCCAGTCACCAGACCACAACCACTGACCTCTGACCTGGACAACCTGCCCAAACGAACGTTTCCAGTCACAAGTGGGGTCTGGAGCAGATCTGCCAATAAGCCACTCACAGTTTGACCAATAATGTCATCTACATATATGGGGACGATGAATTGTAATTTTTATTAAGGTAAGTGAACAGGGTCTCAAAAACCCTGCACCAACACAAGCATCAGACATCGTATTCTGAAAAATCCTACATGAAAATTCAGTGCTTCTAAATTTTACTGGCCAGGATTACCAGTAACAATGAAATTCTCACTACCTCTTAACTCCATAAATCCAATCATTATGTGACACTCCAATTATGGAAAATGAAGTATCAAATATTTTCAGAATATAACAATTTCTCAAGTAACAGTTTAAATGGACCCCAAAATAAATTCAAAAACAGCTGATTCTAATCTGCTAGTCCTCTGCCCTGTTCCAAAACCTGGGACGGTTTCTTTGAAAACAAGTTGATCTGTGACATGAAAACTGCGAACACCCCGCATTCCTGTAAGGGGAACCTTACAGCGGGGGGTGGTCACGCATCCTCCTCCCACTGCCGTCCTTCAGCCCCGGACCCTGTCGCCTACCCCTTGGTCTCCTAGCCTCTTCAACCCTATCCCCTTAGGCTAGTAATCCTTACCTTCGAGCACGTGAACTTGTTGGGAAGGATCTGTGAACCTAAATGTTCATTAGATTTTCATCCTTCATTTTCACTAACCGCTGGCCTAGATTTAAAATGCATTCCCTTATATGTCACAAAGCTAATATTCTGAAAAACTACTATTTCAATATAACTGGTTTCCTTTGTGATCTTTTTTATTTTATGCATTTAAAAACAGTACTTTGAAAGGGAGCCCACAGATTCCACCACACTATCAACAGAGTCTATGGCCTAATATCTAATTAAAACCCCTGCCTCACATACATATCTCCCCAAACTATAATGTTCTCCTGTTCTCATCCCCCAAAGTATCTGGCTCTGTCCTCTCTCTGCAGACACCTCCCTAAGTCCAATCTCCCTACTGGCCCTTTCAGTGACGTCCTCTGGAGTGTCTATTCCACTGAGACTAAATTCCACAACCAATTTGGTTATTTCCCTGGAAATCCACCCCCCTTCCACCTCTCCCACAGTGCACCACGGTTGGTCTCTGTGTCCCAAATATGGCAAAAAGGATGGTACGTCACTTCCTAAATTAGGTTGTATCTAAATGACACTGAAGCTTCCATTTGGATCACAGGCGCGCGCTTGGTCTCTTGGATCACTTGTTCTGGGTGAACCCTGTCCTACGGAGAGGCCCGTGTGACAAGGTTAGAAGCCTCCTACCGACACCCATGTGAGTGTGCCTGGAACCAGATCCTCCAGCCCCATCAAGCCTTTTGACAACGGCAGCTCTGAACATTTGACTGTAACCTCATGAGAACCTGAGCCAAAATCATTCGGCCAGGCTGCTCCTGGACTCTTCACCCTCCGGAACTGTGGGAGAAAACAGCGGTTTGTGGACTAAAGCTTAGCAAAGTTGAGGTGCTCTGTTAGGCAGTAAATAACAAACACCCTGGGGCTCTAGTGCCTTCCCACTGTTAGTCCCCAGAGTGCTCTTAGGAGGCCAGGGCTTACAACAGCCCTGCAACGTTCTCAGCCCTCTACCAGCCTGAGGGCTCGGAGCCCAGGAACCCCCTACGGACTTGAGCCTTGGTTCACAGCTGCCCTCTCCATCCAGTCTCCTGCCACCACCAGCGACTACTGCTCCAAACACTGACTCTGCCAATATACAACGCAAATGTAGCCAGACCTCAGATACCACAGAAAGTACCTCTAACTGTCCCATCCCCTGTTCCAGAACACTGGTCCTTCTAATCACATTGCTGCTTTTCAAACTGTCCCTTCCCCTAACCTATCCGCAGTAGGCCTGCCCCCTGTTTACACCGTGGCTATCTCTCAAGCCCTTCCCCCTCCTCTATCAGGTGCCTCTGGTGTCACCTGACCCTCGCCACACTAAACAATGGCTAGCCATCTCAACCATGTTTCCAGGTAACCTTCATATCCCTTGATCCCCCCCCCCCACCCAGTGCTTTGTACACAATGGTTCCCAAATACATACAGACAAATCTGAGTACGTGAATATGTATAAGCGTACCAGAGAAGACCTATACTGGCAAAAATCACAATCTACAACTGATCTCTCTACACTTTTTCTCCATTTCCTTTATAATTAAAAGAATTACCTGCACAATGTGGTCGCATCCTGAATCGTTCATTTGCAATCATTTGTGACATCTGTATTGTTATCTAAGGCCAAAAGCTCAGAAGCAACTTGATCCCTCCCTCTCCATTACTCCTCACATCCAGTCTGTCCCCTTGATTCTGACTCCATCAGCACCAGCTCTCTCAAATGGACCCACTTCTTTGCACCCCCGTAAGGGCAGAGCCCTCGAAAGCATCACACGGTGCCCTTCTAACGAGGCTTCCACTCTCCAATCCACAGCAGCCAAAACACCGATCTGGTCACTCCCAAGGCCATGCTGAGCAGCTCTGCAGATTCCTGAGCTCACCACAAACACCACCACCAGGGCCTCCAAATAAACGGTTTCCTCAACTCCCTTCTCTCCTCCACCCACTTACGAGGCTAAGTACTTCTCCTCCTTCAGACCCCCACTACAATGTTACCTGCTCTCCATGAGAAGTTGAGATACCCCGAAAGACTTTCTCAGGTACTCCCACAGCACTTGGCATTCGTATCTATGCCAACACACTCTATACAGAATGACTGTATAGAGTTTATTTTTCTCTACTTTTCTGGAGACTCGGTAAAGGAAGAGCCAGCGTCTTCCCAATTACATCCCTGTTTAACACAGTGCCTAGCACACAGAAGGTACTTGATAAATATCAGGTGAATGAAATGAATGAAAGACACATCCTACCATTTTTTTAATCCAAGAGAGGATTCAGATATCGTGGCAAAATGTCCCGTTTTTAAAACACACACCCTTGGGGCGCCTGGGTGGCTCGGCAGGTTGGGCGGCCGACTCTGGCTCAGGTCACGATCTCACAGTCCGTTAGTCTGTGAGTTCAAGCCCCACGTCAGGCTCTGTGCTGACAGCTCAGAGCCTGGAGCCTGCCCTGAGTTCTGCGTCTCCCTCTCTCTCTCTGCACCTCCTCCACTCGCACCCTGTCTCTCTCAAAAATAAACATTACAACATTTTTAAAAAATAAAAATAAAAATAAATAAAACATACACCCTTAAGAATTATATGCTGCTGAAGTCTCAAGTTTAGTGTGAACTTATAAAGGGAGTAGAAAAATCTAAAACATTTAAGAACAGTTTAGAAAACCATTACATCAAAAATGAAAACTAATGAACACGGTTCCTTCATGTAAAACAATGTTTAACCAAAATGGCCATACTCACCTCTGTAAGCAATATTGCTAGCATGTCCTGCCTCTGAAAACGTATAGCCAGATGTACAAGGGTATAGCCAACATCGAAAGCAGAAGGGCGGTTCAGCAAGCGCACTTCGTCCGCAGTGAGCTGACGCGCAATGTCCCCTCCTGATGACTTATATGCTTCTATAGCAGCTAGATCACCTTCTACAACCCCTAGAACAAACATCAAGACAGAAAAGAGTTTAATCCTATTTTCCTTCAAAAGGCGTATCCTGTTACATTCACTCTAAACCCTTCTAAGTATTTCTCTAGGATTCCTGGACCCTGGGGCAACATTTAAATGTCCTAAAAGAATAGTAAAGAAAATTAGTGAATTCCTGTCTAGTTTCTTTCCAGAACCAGAACTACCTACTTAGGGACTTACCGTCACATCAGTGCTGGCTCCAGGCTCTGGTGAGGTCTCGAGGAATCATTAGAATGTATTAACTGGATCAAAGATCAGTATCTTAGTATGAGAAACTAGACTTTACAGAAGACACAACAGGTTGTGCTCCTGCCTCTGCAGAAGCCAAGGAGACAGGGATGTGCTTCCTGTTGGCTCTGGGCTCTCCCGCCCTTCACACTGCAATTCTCTAACCTGAAACAGATGCAGCGCCTTCCGTACTGCTGTTAGCTTCGAAACAACTCAGAGCAATTAAAACCATTTTTTTTAATATGAAATTTATTGTCAAATTGGTTTCCGTACAACACCCAGTACTCATCCCAAAGTGAGCAACATTTTGATTTCAGAACCTCTCATAGCCAAGTCTTCCTTACAGTCATTAAGTATCGATACAGTAAAACTTGAAACAGTTGAGTTAGAACAAAAATATGCTAAAAGGAAACATTACAAATCAGTTGGGGGACAGAGATGAAACAACTATCACTTTGTCCAAATCCATAAAGAACTTTCTGTTCCCATGAAACCACGTTACTAATCTTAACACAAATTAATGTTAAGATAGTAATCCTATTTAGTAAGCAGTACAGTACACATCTATGAATAATAAATAGCCTTGGCAAAAAAATAAAGGTGTAGGTAAGCTTCAATTTACCAGTGTTACACACACACACACACACACCCCAAGACTGTAGGAACAAGTAATTTTAAGTGTTTCCTAAGTTACATCATGAAAAATTTGTTGGGTAAAATGCTAAAACCAGCTAAAAATATTCATAGCATATTCTTTAAAAGCATTTTTTTATTGTCATCTTGATTTGGAGAAATAGGAACTATTCCTTGGAGAAAAACAGACTGGTACAATGCAACAATTTCTCCCAGTTATTAAAAAGAGCAAATCTTGGGGCGCCTGGGTGGCTCAGTTGGTTAAGCGGCCAACTCTTGGTTTCAGCTCAGGTTATGATCCCACGGTCAGTGAGTTCGAGCCCTGCATCAGGCTCTGTGCTGCCTCCCCTCCCTCCCTCCCTCCCTCTCTCCCCCTCCCCAAAAAATAAACATTTAAAAAAATAATTTTAAAAAAATAAATAAAAATTAAATATAAATAAAAATATCAAAGCTTTAAAATGATAATTCCCACATTCCCTGAATGCCCATGACACACAAACCACTATGCTAGGCAGTATGAGAAGCACAGACAGTAAAAAAGGATTCCTATATTCAAAACAGCCCTTTATCATCACATCTGTGGGCCATAAAAGGCCAGCTTCAAAAGTTTTCAGACTCTGCCGTCAAAGACCCTTTCTGCAAATCTAGACCCACTCTCCAGAAAAAGGACACCACGCTGCCAACACACACATTTTTCAGGTGAAGAATCCAAGGTATCAAATGAGAACACCTCCTTACAGGAACTTTTATTTTCACAGCAATGTAGGTCAATCCCTTCTTCAACAGAAACACCTAAGTGCAGCTGTAACCCCCCACCTCCACTACAGAAGGGGCTTTGAAACACCCTTAGGAGGCACAGCGCCCTACAGAAGTCATCAGGGTTACAACGTGATACGGCTGGCATGAATCTTCTCCAAAGGGCGAGCCTTAAGAACAGACACAGAAATCCTACTTGAAATAAAAAACAAATCTACGGTTATCAAGTACACAAAAAACTAAAATTTCTGCTTAACTTGTGTTAGTGAACAGATGAGAATCATCAAAGAAAGCTTGTAACCTTTTCAATAATTTAATGTCATTCATCTTTTTAGAACCAAATATGCCCCAGGCCATTTCCTTTTGTGTATGTATTACCTCCTTGTGAAGGCGACTACTTTTCACTCGAGTCCTAGTTTCCAGGTGCCTGCAGAATCACTGCACCTTTTACAGGTTTTAAGCTTTAGCCTAAGAAAATAGAAGTTTATAAAGTTTCTTTCTAGGACATAAGAAACGTTCTAAGCTCTGCCAAAAGCAACCCAAGGACCACAAAGACAGAACAACAGACGTGAAAAGATAAAGAGGAAGCCCTGCCTGGAGCACGTGCACACGCCCGGTTAGGCACGCGTGCACACATGCACAGTTGTGTTCCCCGCCGACGAAGGTGGCTGCCAACCAACTCGGTTCTTCTGGCTGCAGGACGGCAAGGTCTTCCAAATCACTGTCTTCACTGTTCTAGCTAACTCACCGTGCAGCAGACATCTAGAGGAACGTCCTCTTAGAAATTCTTGCTTAAGAATTCACTTCCTCGCTAATGTTTCTGAGGGATTTCTGTAATTAGAAACTAGCATAATCAAAGGGGGGGGGGGTACAGCGCACTCTGGGATTATGATTTACAACATCTCCCAATCAGCCTTCAGAGTGTTGTTTTTGGTTTTTTTAAATATAAACAGAATGTCAAATAGTGAAATGCACGGTATAGCAATTCTATTTCAATCGTGCGGATACATACATACACACAAGACCAAGACTTCTATCTGCCCGAATCCAAATACCAAAACAACTCCTTCTGCCAGCCCCCAACCGCCCACTGAAGTGCAGACCGGGTGCTGCCGCTCCTCAGCGCGCCCCCCCAGCACGAAGTACACCCAGGAGGGCAGGAAACAGGAATGAAGAGATTAGAGACTTTGTTCTCTATTCTTCACAGCACAAAATCCTCCACATCTTCTAGAACACGAAAAACACAAATTTAAGTATAGGCACAAAGTAATGTTTTGAAGAAAAATATTTTATTATCTAATGTTTGGGGAACAAAGGATTCCATTCTTGTCATTAACCGTAATAAAGAACTCACAGTTTCAGTTACCGGTGAATTTTCAGCTACAAACATGAGTACCGTTATTACAAATTTCATGAGACTGTCACTGAACTGTCCAAATTTTGGGACTATCTTTATGACACATTGTTCAAGGGCAGCTACCGATTGAAGTTTAGACAGTTTCTTGACAGATGGTGAAGTTTTCACTGTAAACGGGATATTTAAAAGGATCTGGCCCATACTCAGATCACGTAAAGTTTTAGCTACCAAATGTTTTCTACTTAGGGGGGAAAAAAGTATCCGATTATACGCAAAGCAACTTACAAAAAGTCTTTTGAGTGCTTCACATAACATTTTTACCACCTCTAAAATCAGGGGACAAAGAAAAGGAGGAAGAGGGGAGAAGAGCTGGTAGGCAGGAAGAGACAGCAAAATAAACCAAGTGGTAAAATCTCACTTGGTGTAACAATGACCAGGAAAAAGTTCCAGCAGAAGACAGGTGATGTGCACATGCCTTCCTAGTCACTGACCTCCCGTGCAGCCTCCAAGAGCAACTGAAACATCTTTCTCCTCGTGTTTTCTTTTTTAAACTTAACAAATGTACCATTACATGTTCTGTCCCTTCTTCCTCCATGCTATGAAGGCAAACTGAACGGACAGCTGAAGGCTTCTGAGAAGATGAACTTTATAAAACTAACCTATGGTTACCAACACACATTCAAAACTGAGTGAAATACACAGCCAACTATATGCAGTGGTGCAGAATTACAGGTAATGGAAAGGGTTAATATCCTTTTAAAAACATGAATACCTAAAGGTAAATGAAAGTTACTACATGTTACAAATATGAAGTTTAAAAATAAAAGTTCATATTGTTCTACAAGCTGGGCCAGGTGTGGGATTTAACATACTTTGAAGCCACAGGTCGTAACTCAACTGGGGACTTCACAGCTACTATGGAACTCCGTTGGTTAGAATATGGAGCTGGCTCATAGATGTTTAGAAAACAGACTTATTTTTTTCCCCCATATATGGCACAGTTTTCAAAGTTTTGCCTTATTTTCTTTTATGACATAAAATCATAATGGTAACTAACTTTGAAAAGAATGCCAAATGGTAAAAAAAAAGCCAGGACTTACCTGAGCCCACATGGGCCAGCTCAACACTACCCTGGAGTTCTATGGTAGCTGTGACATCACAGCAGGGTTTATGCTGTGGGGTCAGGGTGGACTTGGAGTCAGCTGGCACAATTTCAGGAGCCCTTAAAGAGAAAAGTTAGTTTTAAGTGGTAATGCTCACAATGTCCTTTACCATGGTCAGTAGAAAGGTGCAGACGCGGCTGGCTACAATGTCTGGGTAGCTTTCCTCCACCCAGAGTTTAGCTCACTAGGTGGTTTTGCATAATAAAAAGAAATCTCTACCACAATAATACTTCTTCTGTATATTCCTAACCATTTGGCTATAGTTCAATCATGAACTTGGCTTAGATATTCATATTTGCAGTAATCTCTTTCGGTACTCAAAACACGAGCTATTTTTTGAATAAAATGACCTCAGTACTTTTTAAGTGTATCTTCGAGTGGGCACAAGCTCAGGGTCAATCCCAGAAATAGTGTAAGCAGCCCAGACCACCACCTAAAGGCATTATTCACATAATAACCAATGGCAGCAAGTGAAAATTTACCACTTCTATTCCTAGAATAGTGCTACAGAACAATAACCTTTTCCAAAAAATGAAAATCGCAAATTGGAAATAAATCCTTTAATCTATACTATATCAAGATGAACGCCTATTCAATTCATTCAATAAACTCATTGTTATGAAAACATCTTCTTTAGAATAAAAGATTCAGTCATAGAGAAGTCAAAATAATCTCTAATTAAGGCCTTTAAATGTTCCATTATTAATCATGACAAACTGCACCAAATATAATTTATACTTTGGAGCTTTTACGTCTTTACATCTCTGATCAGATTGTTAACAACCCAACTGCTGTGGAAATATACAAATCCCCAAAGTCATGAAAAACTATG